TTTTTTTTTTTTTGAGACAGAGTCTCATTATGTTGCCCTTGGTAGAGTGCCGTGGTGTCACAGCTCACAGCAACTTCAAACTCCTGGGTTTAAGTGATTCTCCTGCCTCAGCCTCTCTAGTGGCTGGCACTACATATACCCTCCACAACACTATTTTATTTTGTTGTTGCAGTTATCATTGTTGTACAGCTGGCCTGGGACCCGGCAGCTTCGGTGCATGTGACCGGCACCTTAACTACTGTGCTATGGGCGCCGAGCCTAAATAGACAATATTTTAAATTGCACACGAATTTTATGGATACCCTTACATGAGTCTTTACTATAGGTTTGGGGTAGGCTGGCACCCTAAATACCCTGAGTCTAGGAAAATAAAAGAACAATCATTTTCCACTGATATATTTATCAGTGTTCTTTGGTATTCTGATTAATGGACAGGTGACACTTAATGAAGTAAGCTAAATGCTGACCATGAGCACTTCACTAAGGTTACTTCCCATTTAGTAGGGAAAGAACATGAATCTTAGGATGGTATAGGTCAAAAAACACAATACTATATATATTATAAACAATAAACTTTGTAGAGCTCATGTAAGAATTTACCACTCTATCAGTAGAAATAAATATCAAACATACCCAAGTCATCGCTATCAAGGTCATAAGTGGTGATGGCCTTTTGGAGAACATCTGTTTGTTTTTGCATTATTTTTCTTTGATTTTTGTATATTAGAGACACATCTTCCAGTTTTCTGTTTTTGGCTGGCCTTTTTTTTCTGTTCTTTGCATCAGCTCTAAAAATAATTAGAACCCTTTCATATTGGTTCTCAAAAAACAAACAAATGATGAAACAAACAAACAAACCCCACCACAAATAAACAAAGAAAACCTCCTCAAGTAAAGCTCTTTCTGCTCAGCAAAGAGTACCTTTAAAGTTACATTTTTAATCCTTCATTTCTTCCACATCCTACCCCACAAAGAACTCAAGTATAATGTCTTAAGTCAATGGACTCAAACAAAACCTCCTAACTACTTCCTACTCTATGCTCTTACAATTCCTACTTAATTTGCTATTAGGAAACTAGGGGACAACTGCCAGTTGCCTGTTTTTGTAAGTAAGTTTTCTGAAACACAGCCATGCTCATTTACACACTATCTATGGCTGCTTTTCTGCTACGAAACACAAAGTTGAAGAGATGCAATCGAAGCAACATGCCCATAAGAATAGAATACTGTCAGTCCTTCACAGAAAAAAACTGGTAGTCCCTGTTACAAGTCCCGTATTACACTGCACTTTGATTAACCTTAAACTCCGTATCCCCTATGAGCGCCTTAGGAGCAAGCATCAATCACGTTCTTCTTTGTTTTCTCAGTGTCAACCATAGTGACTACTACAGTAAGGAGCTGACACTCAATAACTACTGAAGGAACAAATAAAAAACAAAAGGACCAAGGACTTCAGACTATTTAACTCTATTTTGAAGGGAAGGGAATTGAGAATAACTCCTTGAAATATGTCAAAAGTTTTATTTTCCTTATAGATTTACTCATAATAACAGAAATTCTAGGAAAGTATATTTTCTTCTAAAATTCTTCAAAGATCAAAGATGACTTCAAATTGGCATTCCAAAAAAACCCAAACCACCTCCCCCAAACTCAAACCATGTTACATTGGCTACATGAGTATATACAATTTAATACCTAAAATAGGTACATTTTATTAAATGTGAATTATACCTCAATAAAGTTAACTTTTAAAACTGTTAAAATAACACCCTACCTTAATTGTTCTAGAAAATTATCAATGTGCTCTTTCCAATTTTCTGGAAATCCAAACATAAATTTCCTTATAAGATAATTTGGATATCCTATTTAAGGATGAACAAAAAAATTATTTAAAAGCTTAGAATTTTAAAGAGACATCATTAATTCATTAATTCATGAAATACGTACTTATTGCTTATACATACTATGTCCCAGGCATTGCTATAGATACCCAGATTCAACAGTTAACAAGGCAGATGGAATCCCTGCCCTCATGGAATGCGCCTTCTGATGTGACAGAGAAAACTAACCCATAGGTCAAATGTCTTGCTTGTTAGATAGTGATGCAGGGGAAACGGACAAGGATACCAGTATGTTCATGGGGGAGAAGAGTGGACGGCAACTTTAAAAGGACAGTCAGGGAAGTCCTCACTGAGTTAGAGACATTTCACAAAGTCCTGAAAGACATGAGGGTGAGCCATGTGGCAATATAGGGTTAGAAGCAGAGGGACTAGAAGGCAAAACGCTAAAACGAGTGTATTTTGTCAGTTTGTGAAACAATGGGGACATTCATGTAGTGGAAGTAGGACAAGGAGGAGTTAGTATCAGGAGGCTACTCAGATTGGTAACAGAGGCAGTGGGGAGCATGGAAAATTAATATAAGGTCTTGGGGTCATTTTATGGATCTGGCTATTTAATTTGGGCAAGACAGAAAGCTACGGAAAGATTCTAAGAAGAGCGACAGAATCTGACTTACTTTATTAGTAGGACTGTAGAGCTGGTATTTTGAAAAGAGTTTGCAGAAAAGCAAGAGAAGAAAGAGCGAGACCAGTTCAGAACCCACTATAACCATCCAGACAAAAGGTGAGGGAAGTCTGGACCACAGTGATATAGCAGAGTCCAAGTTTTTTTGTTCTTATTGTTTATTGTTGTTTCATGTTAATTTGAGGGCACACAGAATTAGGTTACAAAGTTTGCTGTCGTTAGGTAGAGTCTGTCTTATTGAGGTCCAAGTTTAAGATACCTTGGAGACGCACCAATAGGATGTACTGACATGCTATATGTGGATATGAGAGAAACTAAGGATTTAAGGATGCCTCTCAGAGTTTTGGTCACCACTAGATGCATGGAAAGATGGGAAAAACTATAGGCTATGTAAATTTAAGGGAGAAAAGAAGGTTTTAGACATAGTAAGTTTGAGATGCCTACAGATATCCTAGTGGAGATGTCATATGGGCACATGGAAAATGAGTTGAGTACTTAGAGGAGAGGTCTCGGTTTGGGATGTTAAATTGATGTTTGTCATTATTCTTTTTAGAGACTAAAAAGAATCAGGACAGTGCTGAGTCTAGAAAAAACCCCTAGCTACCTCATTATTTAAAGGTGAAAAGGAGAAAAATACATAAAGAAATTAAGACCGAACAGGTAAGGCAGTGAGTCAGCATGAAAACTAGAATACAGCATTCAAGAAAGCAAATAAAGTATTTCAAGGAGGTAAATGTGATGAATTCTGCTAGGTATATACAGGATTTAGCAATACAGAGGCCATTGGTGACTCTGATATGGGTTGTTTTGGAGAAGAATTGGGGGTTAAGGCATGATTAAAGAAATGGAAGAGAATTCAAGAGTAATTAGATATGTAATAGTAAGTACAGACAGATCATGTGGACTGGTTTTGTTGTAAACGAGAGCAACTGTGGCTGAAAGGAGAAGTGTGGTTAAAAGGGGGAGTTCTTTTAAGGAGAAGGAAGAATTACTGGAACAATGTCCTTGAGTAAAACAGGGAAAATGGGAGCTAGCATAAAAATGGGGAGGCCAACTCAGACGGAACACGGACAGTTCATCCACAGTAGCGCTGGAACAGATGAGAGGAAGCGGATGTGGTGCAGAAACCCTCTTCTGATTTTTCCCAGGGCTCAGGGGCATCCTCTGCCCCCTGCTATCTCACCTGAGAGATGGTCAAGGAGGAGATTTCAAAAAATGTGGGAACAGTCATCAGGAGGGAGACCAGAATGAACGATTAAGGGAATATGGTAGGATGTCAAGCTAACACCAAGGGACAACTAAAGGATTATAATTTATTGCTAGTAATGACAAGTTTAAAGTCTATTTTTCCCCAGCTACCTTGAGCTATGTACAAGGCATAGGCAGAAAATGAGATTATACCAGGACTGCGGTGATGCCAGGTGAGTCCAACAAAGAGAGGAATGAGGGACTTAAATTATATACTTATAAATGCAATTCCTTATAAATAAAAGTTCTGTTTCTCAATTTTTTTTTTTTTTTTTTGAGATAGAGTTCACTCCGCTACCCTGGGTAGAGTGCCATGGTGTCATCATAGCTGACAGCAACCTCAAACTCCTGGGATCAAATGATCCTCCTCCCTCAGCCTCCTGAGAAGCTGGGACTATAGGTGCCTAGGTGATGGCCAGCTAATGTTTTCTACTTTTAGTAGAGATGGGTCTCACTATGTAGCTCAGTCTGGTCTGGAATTCCTAAACGCAAGTGATCCTGCTGCCTTAGCCTCTCAGAGTGCTACAATTATAGGTATGGGCCACTACACCCATTCAATTTTAATTTTAAAAAAGTCACTGAACATATTTAAATTGTCATCAAGTGATTAAATCAGAAAAAATCATCAATTCTGTAAATTTTATATAATGTGATCAATTCTGCTTTAATTAGGAGGCTTCATTTATTCCTAATTTTAAAAAACCTAATTAAAAGGTAAAAAATATATATTATTGTTAATATCATAGTTAATTGCTTCCCTTATTAAAATAATTCATCAATTAATGACAGTCATTTACCTGCTTCTTTCATGGAAACCCGGTCTATCATTCCTTTCAACATATAAATGTTGCCTGTTTTAGTCCTAACTTTGTTGTGCTCAATCCGCTCTACAATTACATTGCTGTGCCAATATATGTTAGTGACGTCTCTAGCCAAAAAAAGAAAAAAGAAACTTTCATAAGGCTGAAATATTCCGATTTTACCAGTAGTCACAATGCACATATAGGTATATACAAAGTTATAACAGAAAGCAGTAATATGCACTCTAGCTACAGCCACACTAACAACATTATAAATCTAATTACAAAACATAGAGGGACTAAAGAATACCGCAGAACTCAGAACTGCTTGGCTACTGTGAGCCTCAGAGTATGTGCCAAGAAACTGTACTGTGGCCAAACCATGTCCCTACTATAAAATGTATTATTATCAAGGAAGAAGAGGCCTCTCTAACTATCTGGTGCTGGCAAACCTTGCAAATCCAGCTTAACTCAGCTTCCAAAGAACGATTTCCCTGCACCTCTCCCTTAGGGTCTACATTATTATTAACCTCTGTGTAGAAATGTAGACTGAAACCACCTAATCTAATTTTTTTTTTTTTAGAGAGACAGAATCTCACTCCTTTGCCCTCAATAGAGTGCTATGAAATCACAGCTCACAGCAACCTCCAGCTCTTGGGCTTAGGTGATTCTCTTGCCTCAGCCTCCTAAGTAGCTAGGACTACTAGGGCGCCCATCATGACACCTGGCTATTTTTTGTTACAGTTTGGCCGGGGCCAGGTTCAAACTTGTCACCCTCAGTATATGGGGCCAGCGCCCTACTCACTGAGCCACAGGAGCCGCCCTGATGTTTTGTTTTGTTTTGACCTTCACTAGACGGCCAAATGTATTTATCTTTCATTTTGGAAACTACTAACAAGAAGTTCCAGTTGGGAAAAAACAAACTATAGTATCAACCTATTCTTCATATCTCTTTTTCTTTTTTTTTTTTTTGAGACGGAGCCACAAGCTGTCCCCCTGGGTAGAGTGCCATGGCATCACGCTCACAGCAACCTCCAACTCCTGGGCTCAAGCGAGTCTCCTGCCTCCGCCTCCCAAGTAGCTGGGACTACAGGCGCCCGCCACAACGCCCGGCTATTTTTTGGTTGCAGCCATCATTGTTGTTTGGCGGGCCCGGGCTGGGGATTCGAACCTGCCACCTTAGGTGTATGTGGCTGGCGCCTTAGCCGCTTGAGCCACCGGCGCCGAGCCCATATTTCTTTAAATTAAGCTAAACATATATATAAAATAGAGCAAAATATGAAGCTGTACTGTGTAAGTGTTGAGCATTCTCCTACTCATCAGTTAACTATTATGAATAAACATATTAATCACGAGTATAATAAATAAGGAAGTTAAGTTCCTTTAATTTGGTCAAGTAGGATCAAACGCATGTTTAACACAGTATCACTTCTTTTCCATTCATTTCGCTTTATTTATTAAATAATAACAATAATTTAAATAACACTCTAAAAGCACTATTCTCTAGTCTTACATTTAATCCTCAACTCAACTAACAAGGCAGGAAACACAATTATCCACACGGCACAGATGAAGAAACGAAGTCGCAGTAAGGAGCAGCAGTGGGTTCCAACAAAGCAATCCACGTTGCCTCTTGTACATTAAGGAAATGGGGGCAAAGTGACAGATACAGCGTAGACAGTGCGGATTTTATATACTCAAATTATATAAATACCTCAAATATAAGTACTTTAATGATATCTTAATGTTTTATTAGCGTTAAGAAACTGGTCTTGAAGACTAGACAACGGTGCTGACAGAGCAGCGGACTCAGACAAAGCTCACTTACTTGATGATGCTCACACTTTTTTAGGGAGAACCAGAAAGTGCCAATGATTACTTAATGTGTAGCTGGGTGGCAGAATTTTAAATAATTTTTATTCCTTTTCTGGCTCAGTAATTTATATTTGGTCATCCCAATTTACATGTGAGAATCTGGACGGAAATGTAGGTAGCAAATATTAACTGATCATATGTAATTAAGGAGATAATACCAGTCTTCTTAGCACCACAGTGCCTCAGAAAATAATAAAACACTATACAAATTTGAGCTGTCACTATTTTAAAAATAACTTGAGTAAACAGGCAAAAACAAGAAAGCTACTAACAAGTAGCATGGCCAGGACCTGCATGGTCATTTTACTTTTTTGTCTTCAATTATTACCTCCTTTCATGCATCACCTTCTAAGCGCTCATACACATTATTTTCTTAAGTTTTATTAAAAGAATATTGAAATGTTATACTCACATCAGTTTTCCTTCTACACATATAGCTGTATCATCGTTGATGATTTTAATCATCCATTCCTGTAGCTGGATGACCTAATCAAGCATAAAGTAAAGAACACATTCCCTATTACTTGTAGTACAAGTATTACAGAATTAAATTACATTGAAAGAGAAAACCTCAGTGATCCAAGTGATTCCTCAGTACTGAGCTATCTAGGAACCACATTCCCTTTTAAATAGTCTTGTATATGAAGGGAAACACTAAATTTAGGCTGTATCGCATAGCTTCTTCTACAATCCAGACGCAATTATTTTTAAATACTATTATATCAAATCTCAACCAATGGGGGAAAATCATATGAAATACCAAGTTGTACATTAAAATAGTAGCATTCCAATGGGGGTGGGGGTCAGGAACTGATTCCACATCTGTTTAAGCAGCACAGTAAAACATGCAAAAACAAACTGTTGGCAGAGTTAGTCTCTGACCTCCCTATTGGAATGCAACTGTTAAACCACATCCTACGAAGAATACAATCACTTGGAGGGAGAAAATAGTCAGCTGTGTGTATACCATCACTGCTGTCCCTAAAAAATTACAGTATTTTTTTTGTAAAGTTGATTGAGAGTTGCATTTCAATTTTCTATAAACTATAATGGTGACTGCTGGTAACCTACATTTAATAGAACTCTATTTCAAAGGAAACATCTGAATAGTTCAGATAATTCCTTTGGTACAAAATCCCATTTTAATGGAAAAATTTTTATGAACATCTGTGCAAAGATATCATTGTTTATATCACATAACAATTACCTGAGATACATTAAAGAAGGCATCAATCAGATGGAGATACTAATGCGTACCACACCGCTTATATAAAGTATCAAGATGTTCATTCATTATTCATTCAACAAATATTGTTGAATACGATACTGTTTTAGGCAGTGAAGATTCAGTGAGAAACAAAAAGGATGCTTTCTTAGAACAAGTATTCTTGTGTGTTTTGGGGGGGTATGTAGAAGTAAGTAGACAAGTAGTATCCAAACAGTCAAATATTAAAATGTCAGGTGGTGATAATTACTATTAAAAAAAAACCATAAGTCATTAGATAATTGGGGGTGCTTTTTAGGTAAGATAGTCAGGGAAGGTCTTAGAACAGAAAATTGATGAAGTAAGGGATGAGACAACTGTATGTTTGCGAGACTGTTCCAGAGAGAACAAGCACCAACACCCTAAGTAGGTAGCAAGGAAGGCACAGCAATTTGAAAGGAATGAGAAAGAATGAGAGGTGGGGTTGGAGATCTCCCGGATTAATTATGTAAAGCCCTTTAAACCATGGCGAGGCTTAGTGTTTTCTAGTAGATGGGAAGTTACTGGAGGATTTTGAGCAGGACAGTAAAATGACTTCAGGTTCTGTCTAGAAAACAGATTCAAGAGGCAAATCTGTAAGCAGGGAGACCATTAGGTTACGCAGTAATCCCTGGACTAGAAGGTAGTATTTGAGGAGTGAGAAGTGGTCAGATTCAGGACAGTAGAACCAACAAGATTTCTTCATGTTTTGGATATGGATTATGAGAAAACCAAGAGTCCAAGATTGAATCTAAAATTTTTGCCTAAGTACCTGAGAAAATGGTATTGCTATATATTAATACAGGATAATGATGGATAAGGTTTATGGTGAAGAAATCAGAATTTTGTTGTAGACATTTTAAATTTGAGGTATCAACAGAAAAGTTGGAAATGCAAAGGTGACTGGAAATCAGGAAGCGGGGAGTAAAAACCTACTGACTGGGTACAATGAACAGTAGCCTGCTGAGGAATACAGTAAAAGCCTCAATTTAAGATTATGAAAAGCATTTATGTAACAAAAACAATTGTACCTCCTTAATATTTTGAAATTAAAAAAATAGAAAAGTTGTATAGACAATTAGATATCAACAAAATAGTCATACAGATAATTATGCATGAGTGTGGAGTTTAGAGAATACTTTGAGCTAGAAATATATACTTGGGAGCTGGCAACATAGAGATGGAATTTAAAACAACAACCCTAGGGATAAGAGTGCGAGTAGATAGAAAACCATTTCTAGGACTGATCTGAAGGAGTTCCAACATTTACAGGACTGATTCTGGGGACAGGAAAAGGAAGCAACAAAGAGGACGGAGAAGGAATGTTCAGTGATGGAGCAGAAAATCAGGGACGAGATGTCCAGGAATCCAACAGAAAACGCAGAACACCTTTTTACAAAGATGTTTTGAGTCATTTTGTTAAAATCTCATGAGGGACTAAGAATATGGAGCAAAAAATCAGTTACTGGATTTGGTGATACGGAGATGATCAGTGAACTTGGAAAGGGCGATTTTCATAGAGTAATGGATATCCAAAATAGAACCTTTCAAAAGGGAATGGGAGAAGGAATTAAAACGGTGAATATATATGCCTCCTTCAAGATGTTTTCCTATAAAAGGAAATTAAAAACTGAGATAATAGCTTAAGTTGATAGATGATAAAGGAAAGGTAGGCCTCTGTTTACATTTTTAAAAATGTAGGCCATGTTTCAGCATGTTTATATGTTAATAAGAATGATCAAGAGAATATTAAAGGGATAAATTGCAGGGGCAATTACCTTTAGGTGGGAAGAGGAAATGAAGAGGCCCTGAAAAGGAGCATAAATTGTTCATGCATTTAAATACCTGGACATAGCAGCAGGCAGACTGGGAGATTGGGTGAAGGGATTATAAGGTTCTCAGTGAACTGAGAATGAGCACAAGGGAGAAGGTTGGGAGTTTTAGGAGAGGAAAGGAGTGAAGAAAGTCATAGAATGGATTAACGAGTGAAATGTACCAGGACTAAGGAACAATATTGAGAGCCCACTGTTTGCTGTCCAATTAAAAATGAGAACTGTCAGTATGGCTGTGTGTTTTCCTCTAGTAACCATTAGCTCTCAGGTACAGGCATACAGCAAAACACTTAAATTTAACCAGGGCTAGAAGTTGCCAGCAGAAGACAGAGGAAGAAAGGAACTGAAGAGGGTTGAGAGTTATAACCTGCAGTAGTTATAATGAACCATGGAATTTAAGTGGGGTAAAGAGGGAAATGAGAACACGAAAGAGTTGATGGACTGAAAGCTGTCTTAGTAGGGTCAGAGTGTTGATGGTGAGGAGTAGGAGGCAAAATGATCTGAACTACAGAAGTTGGCAGTGAGAGAGTGAAATTTGGTGCATGTATTATTTGGTAATGAAAAGAAATGGGTATGGTGATGGAAGAGCATAAAGGCAGCAGAAAGGTCACTGAATACGAAGGTAGCAGGCAGAATGGACGGATCATCCATACGAATGCTGATGTCACCAGAGATAATGACAGAAGTAGTAGCAGAGAAAAAGCTAACAGGCATCAAACACTTCAAGAAGAATGCAAGGTCATGACTAGGAGGTTATTTTATTGGTGACTTACAAGAGGGGACAGGGAGTAGTAAACTTTTATGACATGTGCTTCAAAGATGCTTTAGAAATAGGAAAAATGGCCTGAAGTAGCAATGAGGAGTAAGAAACAGAGACACACCTTGTATCGTTTCTAAGTCCAATGGAGTGTAGGGTATGGTAGAAAAAATAGCCACCAATTCAGAGGGTTGTTTGTAGAAGCCATATTTTAGTTAGAAGAAAGTTAAGAAATGTTCATAGACGATTAAGAATATAACATATTACTGACAACCTACTTAGAGTTCGAGAAGACATAATGTTTAGAGAATTGAGGATGAGTGAAAAATTGCATAAAAATTAGGGGACATAAAGAACTAAACAGTGATAAGAGTCCCTGGAAGCGTGGACTTCTCATGGTAACTAAGAGGATGGTAGAAATAGTACTGTGGGGTGTCTCGAAACAGTTCTCTTCAAACTTTTTTGTTCAACACACCTCATATATTTTCAAGTCAATAACTAAGCCAGGGGCTTCTAATTTTTTTTTATCTCTGTTGCTATTAGAAGAATAAGAGTTGTCCTGGGCCACACAAACACTAATGAAAACTGAATAACTAAAAAGGTTAAAGATAAAAAAAGTCCTCATAAAAGCAGCATATGGCCTGTGGGCCACAGTTGGTCACCTTGTGGTAAAGCTTTTCATCAAAAGTATAAGCATTTGTAAATAATGCAATTTCCAGTGAATAAACTGAGAAATGAAACTGTAACTGTTACACTATCTTTAAAATTTAGATGGCATTTATATACCATCACAATTTGATACCCATTATCAATCATCCATTTAAGAATTAATGGGCAAATCTTTAACAATGAGAAATTTTACATTTTATCTTTCCCTTTAAACTTGTATTTCCATTCTACTTTCTTCAAAGAATTTATCCCAATTCAGTAGAACCTCTATAACTGACCACCTCCCTACACCAACCACTTTCTTAAGCTGACCTAATTTTCCTGCACTAGATATGCATGAAAATACATACATAATACAGTAGGCCAGTTCCTTAGTTGACCATACCCATATGTTGATCAGTTTGTTACAGTCCCATGGGTCATCAACTTACAGATGTTCTAATGTATAACATTACTTAATGTTCTGAAGTCTTTTACTGATCACTTTACATTGAAAAATTCTCAAATGTTCAGATGCTACAATTCCTTTCTATTTCAATCGTTCTCCTAACAGTACCCCAAGAATCAGAAAACAGAACAGGAACAAGTTCAGTGTTCATGCCCAAAGGGAATAAGTAACTTAGTGGAGCCTACATAACTAGTAAAAGAGCAAGACAAGACTCAACAAGTGGGTCTTCCTTTAGCTCACTGCTCCTTCTACTAGGCCACACTGTAGCTAGAGGAATAATCATAAAGCATGAAAATGAAGCTACTGTGAACAATGAGAGCACAGGCTCAAATACTAGCTAAGGAAAAAGATAGCAAGGGAGCAGAGAGCTCAAGTTGTTGAAGAACAGGAGTAAAAATAGAAATAAATATTTACCTTAAAAAATCTCCTACCTTATTTTTTTTAACTCCATTTGTAGCAGTTTGAAATACACCTGGAGGGGAAAGCTTTGAAACATTTCTTTGTGACCTTCGAGGTATTTTTATATGAAGTCTTGGCGTTGCCAGTACAATTTTACATGTATCTTCCAAGAAACCTGGACTACTATTCTCTATGGATACTGTTTTTTCATTTCCTTCTTTAATTTCCTGTTGTGAAGACATTTCTGTTGTCATCTTGCTACTGGAAACCATTAGTTGACTGTCATTTTTAATGGGAACAAAACTGAGACTGAGAGTCTCAACGTTAGTATTTTGGAATTTTTCATCGGCAGAATCAATGCTTTCTGAAACAAACATGCTCTTTTTGGACTTAGTGGTTGCAATTATGTTCTCTTTGGAATGAAGAATCTGTTTAGCCAACTGAGCTCTAGTTAATGTCTTGTTTGAGGCTCCTTTAGCCGAAAAATGTTCTTGTTGTTGGTTTAGAATTGGAAGTTCTGCAAAAAATACAAAGCAAAACTAAATTTATAGAAGGAACTTATGAAATTAAGAGAATGCTCCAGCCCCCTGTCCAATCTTTCTCTGAGTGCCTCCAGCTTTTATAATTCAAGCTTTTGTCCACAGTCAATGTGTGCTGCTCATATAGAGAAAATAATTACCTAGAACATCTAACAATACATTCAAGTAACAAACTAAGAAACAAAACACAGAACAGTTTACCATAAGTTAAATTGTGCAGTGGTGCTTTGTTTTCCTGTGGGCACTGAGTCTCGTGTTTGTCCAGAAGGAAATTATTTGTTGATTCTAGAGGAACACCCTGGACCGAGACTGAGGTTCTATTTTCTAAAAATAAAGAAGTTGAATTGTATTAGTGACTGAGAAGAAAAAGATATCTTTTTAAATTCTTAAAGACACGGGAGGTTCAGTAATGAACCGACTAATATACTGTACTTTTTGTAGCATATGACATTTAAATTTGTCCTTTATATCTTCTCATGCCTTCACCTCATTCTCTATACCCATATCATGCTGAGGAAGAAGTTTTAAAAAATTTCTCCAAGGCCAGGTATATGCTTAACACCGGTAATCCCAGAACTTTTGGGAAGCCACGGTGAAAGGATTGCTTGAGGCTAGGAATTCAGCACCGGCCTGGGCAACACAGTGAGATGCCCCATCTCTGCTTAAAAAAAAAAGAAAAAAAATTAGCCAGGCAGGGTGGTGCGCACCTGTACTCCCAGCTCTCAGGATGCAGAGGCAGGAGAAATGCTTTAGCCCAAGAGCTTAGGGCAGAGCAGTAAGCTATGACTGACTGCATTTCGGCTTGGGAGACAGAGCAAGACTCCGTCTCTAAAGCAAAAAGAAAGAAAAAGAAAGTCTAGACGTATTGAAATTAATCTGATAAGTACCTTAACTGAGCCCCCGTTCTATTCCTTCTTCTTTCTGCACCATTTCAGTTAAATTATCCTTCCAGTTGCTCAGGCCAAAATAAAAAAACCAAACCAAACCAAAAAATACCCTACAGTTATCCTTTATCTCTTTCTCTTACATTCTCCTCCCAGTCTATGAGCAAATCCTATTAGTTCTACCTTCAAAACATATCCAGAGTCCAACAACTTTTTCTTCACTACCACCACCTGAACCAAGCCAACACCAGTTGTCATCTCAAGTACTATAGAAACTCTATTTCAAATCAGCAGCCAGAGTGACATTTTAAATTTAAATTAGATCACATCTGTAATCCTAGCATTCTGGGAGGCTGAGGAGGGTGGATTGCCAGAGCTCAGGAGTTGAGACCAATCTGAGCAAAAGTGAGAGACCTTGTTCTCTAAAAATAGCTGGGTGTGGCAGGTGCTTGTAGTCCCATCTACTTGGGAAGCTGGGGCAAGAGGATCGCTTGTGCCCAAGAGTTGGGGTTGCTGTGAGCTATGATGCCATAGCACTCTACTGAGGGTGACAAAGTGAGACTGTCTCAAAAAAAAAAAAAAATTAAGTCAGACCTTGTCAGTCCTCTGCTCAAAACCTACCAGTGGCTCATTATCTTGCTCACAGTAAAAGTCAAAACTCTTACACTTACCTCTAAGGTCCTACATTATCTGATCCACTCTTTTTTTCTTTTTTTGGTAGTTTTTGGCTGGGGCTGGGTTTGAACCCACCACCTCTGGCATATGGGGTCAGCGCCCTACTCCTTTGAGCCACAGGCACTGCCCCGTCTGACCCACTCTTATTCATCCCTTTTCTGGAGCTGTGTACTCACTCCATGGCACACTAACTTCACAGCCAGTATGTTTAATTATGTCTTCTCACCAAATTAAAGATGAGCTAAACAAGGGCAGGGACTTTTGTCCATTATGTCCACTGCTGTATTCTCAGCACTTACAAAAGTGTTTGGCACATTAAACGTTTAAGACATTGTAGTCTTTTAGCCCACATGTAACAAAACTAACCTTTCAATGAACTGTTAGATGATTGGAATGAATTGTTGTTTTCCTTTTCTTCACAGAGGTAGGTATGCTGCAATAATTTTTTCTCAGCTTTGTTAGGAGTGAAGAAGATTTTATTACTTTCATTTCTCTGTGGTTCTAATAAACTACTATTTCTTGATGCTTGTTCTTGCTTGTCACACAGTACTTTTTCTTTCATTCTTTGAAATATTTTTCCTGGTGATTCATAGTTTGCTTTATTTTTTAATCCATCCTTATTGGGCTTTATAGCACTGATATCAAGAGACTTGTTGGAGGTAGTAGCCTCTACTAGCATGGTAGATTGAAATATATTTTTATTGTTAAAAGCTGTCATATCTACGAACTGCTTCTTTTTAAAGTCATTCAATTTTAAAGAGGAGTTCTGATATTTCAGCAAATCTTTTATAGGAGTAAGTGTGCCTGAAGGAATGCTATCAAGAAAGACTGCATCCAGGGACAGATTTCTCCTCTGAGAAGACATCTCTGCAGACGGGTGAATTCCTGGATGTTTCAAAGGTGTTGCAATCATCTTCATAACACAGCAGCAACAAAATTCCTCTAAGAGAAAATTGACTTAAGCAGTTTTCAGGACAGAACTTCAGCAGGGAACCAGAGACACCTGTAGTTCAATATGAAATCAATCTTTATCATGCTTTGCTATATAAAAAGTTTGAAGTTTATTTGCTTTCCATGACAACATCACACTCATTAAAATGTTTAACTGCTTCACAATAACACTTGACAATCTATAATTTACAAATCAGACTAACCTTTCATTTTTTGGTTGAAGTCTCATTTTTATTGTTTTTCAACAATAATACGCAATTTTGTCTTCAACATGCAGACATGAAGTTTGGTCTTTGTATCTTTATAGAAAAGCAGCATTTATCAAATAATGAATCTAATGTTCTAAGGATTGAATTTTATTTTATTTTATTTTTTTTTAAGAATGAGGGTTTCACAGTTGCCCAGGCTGGAGGACAGCCCCCCACCCCAATCATAGCTCACTGTAACCTTGAGCTTTTGGACTCAGATGATTCTCTCACCTTAGTCTCCCAAGTAGCTGAGCCTACAGGTGGTCACTGCCACATCCAGCTAATTTTTAAAAAGTTTTCCTGTAGATATAGGGCAGTGGTTCTCAACCTTTATACCACAGCCCTTTAATACAGTTCCTGTGGGCTGCTGATGTAGGTTCTCACCATATTGCCCAGGCTGGTCTTGAATACTCAATTTAGAACTCTTTCCCTGCTTCAGCCTTCCAAGTGCTGGGATTACAAGGGTTAGCCATTGTGCCTGGGATAAGTATTGAATTTTGAATATATGATTCTGAAATTTACTTGAACTTCAAGTCTTAAAGGTTCCAACCTAATATTTGGATGAAAAGGAACTAAATGATGTCAGCATAAGGCACTACACTGTGTTATAAAGAATTAAGTTTCAAAATATTGTTTTCCCCTTTATGCAAGTAAATTTTAAGGCAGCAGCTGCAATGGATCTATTCTAATAAAAGCTAAAATGTCTATTTGTTTATTTATATAATCCCTAGTCCTGATTTTTCTGCTCTAAAACATTTAAATTAAAGGGCTTAGTTTAGCCGGGTATTGTGGCAGGCACCTATAGTCCCAGTTACTTGGGAGGCTGAGGCAAGAGAATTGTTTAAGCCCAAGAGTTTGAGGTTGCTGTGAGCTATGATGCTACCACACCCTACTGAGGGTGACATAGTGAGACTCTGTCTCAAAAAATAAATAAATAAATAAAAGGGCTTAATTGAAAAACTCTCAAATAAAAAATTCATCCTAATTATTAAAAAATGTAATGCTATTTGCAATTTTTTAGAAGAAATCATGTACTTGAGCTTACATGGTTTTAGACTTAACTTATTTCTCATGTATTAATTTTATTTTCCACACCTAGAAACTAAGATTCCAGGTGGACAACCACAGAGTTGCATTCAGTTAATAACTTGGTAGATAAAATATTGCAACTCAATAAGCCTGGAACTTACTATTCTAGATTTGTAGCATCTCTTATTAGTGAATTTATAATTATTACAATCAGTTTTTTGACATCATAAACATAAAAAGCCTATAATAGAAAATACTAATGCAGTCAGGCCAAAAGACATTAACTATCTTTACCTAGAGTAACTTCTGTGAGAATAAGGTAAAAATGCACATACAGCTCTGTACAATGGCACTATCATAGCCAATGAAGTTTATCCAAGGTATGACTATTACTAACTGAAAACTTTTCCCAATACCCCAGTGATAATTTGCAATATAGATGGCATTGGCAATTTGACAGTCTCTATAGAGACTGAACATAAAAAAAAAAACAATGACTTATAGGCTGGCACAGTGGCTCACACCTATAATCCTAGCTCTCTGGGAGGCCAAGGCAAGTGGATAGCTTGAGCTCATGAGTTTGAGACCAGCCTGAGCAAGAGTGAGATCCCATCTCTACTAAACATGAAAAATGGAGGCAAGAGGATTGCTTGAGCCCAAGAATTTGAGGATGCTGTGAGCTGTGACATCAGCACTCTACCAAGGGTGACAAAGTGAGACTGTTTCGGAAAAAAAATTCATGTATCAAGTACTATTTTATCTAATAATTTATAACAGAAAAGAAAAAATATTTCTCAGTAATAACTGACAAGGAAGGATATCTTGGGATACTAATGTATATATTTATATGTTCATCATTATGCTAGATGCCAGGAATCCTGTGCTGGGAGTTATAACATTCGTTAGCCATTCACTTTAAATAATAATAAAGCTGTATTATCTCTCAAAAACAAAAATGAATAGATAGTTACAGAGAAAAATAGCAAAGAATGTTCAGCTTTATACAATCTTAATTCCTCAAAGTCAGGGTCTAAGGACATGCTAAATAGAAGGTAAAAACTACAAATAAGGTAGCAAAGAGGTGGCCAAGATGTAGATAATATTTTGTAAAATTTTGTAATGAATATTTTGTACATAAAGGTACATTTAACTATAACTTCCCCTATGCATGGCGATTTTATGGGCAACTTTTGGGACACCCTATATAATTTTAATATGATAAGCCTTTATTTACATTAACTGCTTAAAGTTTTTTGAAAATTCTGATTCGTATAACTTATTCTGAAAACTGACTAATGCTGATGTACTTAGAAAAAAATTTTTATTTATTCAACATAAAGACTCAGGAATGGGAAAACCACTGTATGAAAGGGCTGGCTATCATCATTTATGTAACAATCATGCACTGCATAATGACATGGAGGCCAACAAGCCCTGTGTATTACAGTGAGCCCATAAGATGATAACATTTTAATATAGTATTAAAGTATTTTTACTGTACCTTTTCTATATTTAGATATGTATAAATACACAAATACTTAACCTTTTGTTATAACTGCCTACAGTATTCAGTACAGTAATATGCTGTGCAGGTTTGAGCAACAGGCTACCATCTAGATTTGTATAAGCATATTGAAGTTCTCACAGCGATGCTGATGACATAATCACCTGAGGATGCATTTCTCATAACATATGACTCTATACGTAAACAAAGAACTACTAAGCAATTGTTATCATGTATGTGGCCCTGAATGTAACTGTTACTTCTCTTGCTAAAAAGACATGGGAGGTTTTTCTAATAATATTTATTTATTATTTTGAGACAGTCTCAAGCTGTCACCCTGGGTAGAGTGCCGTGGCATCATAGCTCACAGCAACCTCTAAGTCTTAGGCTCAAGTGATCCTCTTATCTCAGTTTTTCTATTTTTTTTTTTAGTAGAGGTGGTGGTGTCTTGCTTTTGCTCAGGCTGGTCTTGAATTCATGAGCTCAAGCTATCCACCCTCCTCTGCCTCCCAGAGTGCTAGGATTACAGGTGTGAGCCACTGCACCTGGGTCTAATAATTTTTATAATGTCAAAAGTCAAAAATCACTGAGTACACTAATCAAAACTGGGAGGATGGACAGATGTGGTGGCTCATGCCTGTAATCCCAGCATTTTGGGGAAAAAGAAGCAAAACAAAAATGGGAGGTCTAGATAGGGAAAATAAGAGAATTTTAAGGTAATAGGCAAGGGAAGCCCTTAAAAAAAATAGGCAGCACATATGACAATAGGTTAAGAGACCTAATGAATAAATTTTAAAAAACGATCAACACAGAAAATGGTCAGAAGACATAAAAAATAATTAATAGAAGCAATACAAATGGCCAATAAATGTGCCAACATCCAATTTTACTAATATATAAAGAGACGCTAATTAAAACAGTGGGAGATTTCTTCTTCACATCAGTAAAGATTAATTTCACAATATAGGTCTGCATACTATTGACACAAAAATTCCACTTCTAAATTTTTTTCCATACAGAAACATCTACATAGGAAGGCAAATACATGTAGTAATATAATAATAGTCAATATTTACTATTTACTCCATGTCAGCCACTATGTAATTTTACAGCATCTTTTAAGAGTTAAGTACTGTTACTGTTCCTGGTTTGGAGAAAACGAAATTAAGCGATTAAGTAACCTGTCCAAGGTCACACTTACTGGTAAGTAAGGAACAGCAAGACCCAAACAAGTCTACTCAAACGCAAAGCCCAAGTTATCTTTACCACTGTGCACTACACAAGGATGTTCACGGCAATGAGGGGAAATTAGGAAGCACTCAATGAAGGACAAAATAAATGCCACTACGCCCACACAACTGAGTTCTATAAAAAGATATACATGCACCCCCAAATATAAAATTACAAAAAAGAAGCAGAACAGAACACATAATTACATTTTCATTAAACCACCCCCCCCAATAATAAGCAGAGGCAAAACATCTGGAAGTGCAACAGATTGTAAACAGTGCTTATCTTTGAAGAGTAGCATCAAGAGGCCTTCCATTTTCTAAATAATTTTATTAACACCTGAAAATGTTTGCAACCAGGGCAGCGCCTGTGGCTCCGTGAGTAGGGCGCCGGCCCCATATACCGAGGGTGGTGGGTTCAAACCCGGCCCCGGCCAAACTACAACAAAAAAATAGCCGGGCGTTGTGGCGGGTGCCTGTAGTCCCTGCTACTTGGGAGGCTGAGCCAAGAGACTCAATCGCTTAAGCCCAGGAGTTGGAGGTTGCTATGAGCTGAGACGTCACAGCTCGCTACCCAGGGCAATAAAGTGAGACTCTGTCTCAAAAAAAGAAAAAGAAAAGAAAAGAAAATGTTTGCAACCAGCAAACAATGAAACCTCTGTAAGTTAACCACCGAAGGGGATGGCACAAACTGGTCAACACACAGAGGTGGTCAACATAAGGAAGCAGGCCTACAGTACATCCTGTGTGAGACCGGCCTATGAAAACTAGGTCAACTCAAGGAGGTGGTCAGCTATGAAGTTTCTACTGTAATTTAATAAGAAGAAAACATAAGCTGGAAGAATCAATTGCTTCTATGGGCCTGTGGGTTCTGTGTCCAACGCACAATTTTTCGGCTTGGTAATCGTTCTGTCCTATTTTCTTCCTAGCAGTGACTTTAGAACAAAGACTCAGCGCGCTTACCATGGACAAGAATTTCAGCAACAGTGTTCTACTCTTTTGACAAAAGCAGTACACACGCAACAAATACACAGAGTGAGGGCGCAGTGGTGAAATCGCTGTC